TATCTAAGGACATTACGATAATCATTGACTACTGCCTACCTCATTGAAAGTTCAAAACTCCGTGAACATCAGCTTCCAGTCAAAGATCAGAATTTATAATAATGAAATTATATTGAGAGGAGAATTTACCCTTGCACTGGAATATGATTATAGCAAAACAGCATTTACCGCGAATCAAAATACTTATTGTTGGTATGTTTTGATGTGTCTAATTTCAACTCTAAACTTTTTCGGGAGATAAAACAAAATTCATATTTTTTGTTGATACTCTTTCTTCATAATATTTCAGTGTGAATCGACTTATTCATATAAAATTCATCGAGAATGATGTGTGACGTGAATTTCACGTGTTGATTAGCCTGATGATTATTCTGATTGTATAGGGAAATTGGGACACTATTCGAAGACCTCATATTGACGTCCGTAAGACGTTCATTCACATATAACGTTATGAAAACGACGTCCTTCTGACGTCAGAATGAGCGGTCGAATTGACGTCTATTTTGTCATTGTGGCTACCTAGGATGTACTTTGTGTTGCTTGAACATTGCAGTGTGTGGTATCCTTGGTTCAATACCGGAATACGATATTTGGAGAAATCATTCTTTTTATTGTAAAAGTGGTATTTCACGGAACATCTCCTGCTCACTTGTATTGATTTCACCTGAATAGTGTGACCAGATACAATAATAATTCATTGAAGTTGAGAAATAAATTTTTTTTCCGTTCGATGAAGGAGTTTTTTGAACAGGTGACAAATTCTAAATTCTGCTCCCATCGTTCGATCTCTTAATCTTCATTCTCTTCAAGAATGGAGAACTTTCAATCGATATGGTATCAGTTAATTTTAGTTAAGTTCATTCAACAACGTGTACAGAGAAAATACATCCATTGCAGGTCATGAACATTGAATCTAGTTGATAATGTAGGGTAGTGAGCACAAGTGCTTATGAATAGATTATGAATCAATATAGCACACAAAAAAAACAAAGGAGTTTTGTCAAACAAAAACAACAAATAAGTTAACATCGAATAGTTATTATTGTACCATGAGCCCAAATATCAACACATCAGCATGTAAATACGGTCAACGTCAGATTCAATTTCCTTTCAGGTTCGGAATGGCGTTCGTAAGAATTCCTCAGATGAATAAAAGCAGTGCTTCACAATGAATTTCCTCAGGACATTTAAAAAGTGGCGGTGGTCAGTATTGGTCAATTAAGTTGGAAGTACATTATAGAACTTCGAATTCATTAAATTTTTATGTGATTCTGGAAGTCGGTATTTTGGAATTCGCAGTTGATTAGCAGATCTAGTGTTGTGTTCATGATGATTATTCCGAACCTGAAATTTACTTTCGTTTTCATGGATTACCAGTATCGAATAATAGATATATAGCGATGGCAGAGGCATTATGAAATATTTAATGAATAGCGGTTGGCAGTGCTGACGGGTGCTTGCACTAGCAATGACTCGTATTGCCCACTTCTGCAGAAAGAAAATCTTTGTAGCGTCAGCAGCATTATCCCAAAGAATAATTCCATAATTCAAATGCGAGTGGATCAGGGAATGGTAAACGGACAGGAAAGTATTCTTATTAACACTTTTTTGAGTTGTCTCAGTAGAAAAATATATAAAGAAACTTTGTTACTGATATGAGTGATATGAGTCCAATTCAAAAAATCGTATATACCGGAAAGCTTGACACTTCCACCTTCGCAGTGATGAGTGAAAATCAGTTTATGTGTTTTGTCCCGATCCAGTTTCAATTCATAAGCGGTGAACCGATCCTCAGCAAGATTTTCAGATTGGGTAGAAAGATCGTTTACATAATTGATAAAAAGTAACGGTTCGGATACCGAACCTTGGGGTATGACATATTCAATAAATTTGAAGTCAGATGTGTTATTATCGATCATATTACACACTGTTTTCTGTCATTCAAGTAAGGGCTCATCAAATTTGAGAGGGTACCTCTGAGTCTGTAGAAACTGAGTTTATCGAGGAGAATTTCGTGATTGACACAATCGAAGGCCTTGCTGAGATCACACATGGTAACGGCGGTGTGTTTTCTTTCTCCAAGGCCCTCAACTATGTCTGCCACGATGTCACATACGGCATAAATGGTTGAACACCCTTGCCTGAAGCCGAATTGCCTCTTGTGCAGTAGATCGAATCTCTCAAAATAATCAATTAAACGATATTTCCATCAGTTTGCCTAATATAGGTATGATAAAAATGGGTCGGTAATTGTCTGGTTAGTTTAACATTCATTTTTTCCAACATTGGGATGATCTTCGCGACTTTGAGAATATCCGGGAAAGAACTCTGTTCGAATCATAAGTTGATAAGGTGAACTAACTGCTCTACTAAAAAGTCCTGATATTTTTTCAAAATTTCACTCGTCAGATCTTATAATTCAGCGCTGGTTGCATTTCTGCGGCGCTTTACAGCATTCTTAATTCCACGCCTTTGTCAGCTATAGTAGCAAAGAAATCTGAAAATACATCTGAGTGTATTGGAGCTTGGTTCATATTATGTTTTCTCTAGTAACCTTCAAAGTTTGCTATTCTCCAACTACTGTCTCTGCACCTGTTCTTGGAGTTATTGAGATATTGTTCGCATGCCCTCTTTTTTTCCTGTGCTACTGCGATCTTGTACTTCAATTGTGATATCTTGAGAGCTTTTTCCGCTAATGGGTCTTTGGTTGAGTCGTAGACAAGTTTAATACTCGAAAATTTATCTCGCATTTCACGTAACTCGTCATTGAACCATTTTACGGGAGGATGTTCTTGTTTCGTAATTTCCACGGGAGGATGTTCTTGTTTCGTAATTTTCTTTAGTGGAACAAAAATAATCAACTATAGATTGAGAATTATGGATTATGAATTCAGAGAGATAGTCAATATCGTTCGAAGAATAATAATCAGAATGCCAATTAAGGTAAAGCAAAAGGGGTCTTGAAATCTATCAAGCCTTGATCAGTTATTCTCCGCTTCCAGGTTTCCACATGGGATTCTTCAGTTTTGACTCCGCCTTCAATATCAATGAATATTCCATAATAATCAGGGAAGCAGCATTTTGTAACACCTGATGCATAGGAATTCATATTGATGTTCGTCAAGATATTGTCAATACATGTTGATGATATATCATTGACTCCAGTGTATTCAGAAATCAAACCAAACGAACCAGATCGGCCAATGCACTGGATGAACCCAAAAAATTCATATTGTAATCTCCAAGTAGACCACTGTTGTCGTATGTCTTGGATACTTCATCAATAAGGTCCTCTGATTTCTGCATGGAAACATTGATGTAACCTTAGCATGACCTAGGTATATAAAGTGATCAAAACAGTTTTCGTTGAACATAGTTCAATTGCGCAGAATTCCGCGTTGAGTTCAGAGCAGAATTGTTTGAGATCTGAGGGCTTGAATTTGATAGCCTTTTTGCCATATTTATCATTAGTCCTGCAGAGATGCTGCTGAGTACATACTCATGTATAATTATTCGTCGAATTGAATCAGTTCACCAATGCTCGGAGACACATACAGCTGAATAATTATTGCTCACCTCCAGAAAGTGAGATAGCTCGTCTATTTCGTTGAAGAGACATCAAATATTGACGTGGAACACACTTACATGTTGATGTCCTTTTTTTAAAACAGTTCCTAGTACCGATATATGAGAAAATAATCACCGATATTTATAATTACATACATACATGCGCAACATTGTCTTGATAGAGTTGATGGCTTACATCTCAACAATTTCCAGTTATATTCTCTCAAGAAACTCTCATGTTCAGATCAGTGATATAGCAATATATTTCAATACTATTTGTTTTGCTATATTGGTGGTTTTCTATAGCAATATCATATCGTTATTCTTGATCAGGAAATTGCATGTCAATCAGGTCCGATTCGAAAAAAAATGGTGATGTTGATTGCATGGAAATATTATTCGATATGAGATTGGAGAAAAATGATTCTGACATTATCCTTGATCCTATAAATTTCTTTTATCCCGAAGAAACTATCGATCACATCCTATGTTGGATCAGTTCCTTTTTCAATGATCAGTGTCCATCATCGTCTGGTACTTGGAATCATGAATGGAAATACACGAAACATATTAATCGAAGACTATCACATTCGGAAAGATAATCACACAACACTGTTTTCCAACTAACCAGTCCAATTTTTTATATGCTTCAACACGTATTCCTCTAAAAATGTTGGCATCACCAGGTGAAGATCAGAATTCATTGAGGATAAGAACAAGAAACTTGTCTATTCAATCAGAAAATAATAAAATGATGTGAAATTAGCCACGACTTCGACAAGTTTTCAAGGCGCGCGCCATACCACCATTGGTCATCTACTACTGATTCACCCTCGTGGTTGGTCATGAAATAACTGAAATTGTCGACTGAACAAGCAATGCTGTGATTGATGGAGAGGGATCTCGTGAGCGACTAATTTGAATCCGAAATTTCGTTCGAAGATATAATTTCCTATTATTATTATTATGCGTAGTCGATAATACTGTTTTTTTATATTTCAGTGTGAAACAACTCATTCACATAAAATTCTTCGAGAACGATGAGTGACGTGTCTTTCCCGTGTTCATTTGGCCAATTATTCTGATTATATAGGGAAATGTAAACAATGTTTGAAGACCACATATTGACGTCCGTGCGAGACGTTCAGAAGTGGCCATCCGCATGACGTTAAAGAAATGACGTCCGACATTCTACCTAGGGTGTAGTTCATGTCTCTCAAATGAATACAAATCAGTTAAAAATCGTCATTATATTCTTGAACGTCCGAAATTCATGAATGCAATCTCACTTCTATCCACAATAATTATTATCTCTCAGAATATAATGACTTGAATGAAGTTGAACCCACAATTTGATCTTCTTATGTTTCGCCAATATTTTTGTGAAAATTTGCATGAATTATAAGTTCAAGTCCATGAATCATTCCTTGTAGGACAGATAAATCCAAAATTGAAGTATACAACATCGCATCGGATATGAATTCCACCAATAAATTCATGAGAGATGAAGGCAATAAAATAATTTCAAAAAATCCACCAGAATCATACTTATGGGCCGCAGATGCTGCATTTGTGAAGAGTTCTGATGTATTCTTCATCGCAACATTGATATATCATCTCATGCCTGCCATCATTTTGGACTTGATCATGCGTTTGACTGGAAGAAAGCCGAAGTAAGTGACCTTATATATATATCATCATATACAGCTCTTATATTCATAGTATTTCCTGGAATGATGGTCGATTCAGGTTGATGGAATGATATTTGCATAATATTCTTTTCTACCTGAAGTAGCTACCGTGTCAGCAAATTATGAAGGTTAATAAGTTTTTGTGGATATATGATGATTTGTGCAATGTTCTTCATTGTAATTGATCTTAATGATGTATTTCTTCATTTCATCAGAGTATCTTCAGCAGAGCTGATAATCACTTGCTCCCTATTTCGACTGATTCGAAGCTTGAAATAGATTAATTGACACTTTCTCTGAAGTATTTATATAGTTTGTTCAGTCTGATTTCATCAGTTATTGTGAAAGTCCTGCAATGATGATCATGTCAAAATATATAAAATGAACTACTCCTATACTGCCGTTCAAAGCGAAGAGGTCTCACAAATGGGGAAGACCACTGATTTCGTATCAAGCAACTACAAGTCAATTCAATTTCGAATTTTTCCATTCATACTAGGACGATGGAGAAATGAATTATCAAAATATGTTCATTTCAAAACACACAACTCCAAAGGTCCGTTTTTACGGTCATGCAATTTGTGCAAAATGACTTGTGCATGCTAATTTGTGCAAGCTAATTGTTCTATGAAAACCGAAATCGTGCACTTGTATATAAGCCAGAAAGTTTGACTTGAGTGTCAGATAATTTGCATGTGGTTGCAGCAAATGCTTGAACGTGTAAACAACACTCAAACTCTACGGATGCCGCTCGCATGCGCAGAAAGTCAGTAGCAGCGAATTCTTGTTCTGACCTGCACGGCAACTCATTAGTTATTTCGGTGTGTTGTGACTTTAAACTTACTAAAACAATCTGCTGAGTCATTCTGTTTGTATTTATGTTTGTTTGGCAATAATTTCGAAAAAAAAACAAGTATTCTTTACAGAATTCATTGAGCTAATTGAATTAATATGAGAGTAAGTGGTTCTCTTTTCAATCCAAGTTCTCTGCGGTGTTCTGGGCTTTTTCTTTCTTGACACTTTTTTTAATATCAAACAAACACCAACTAGTGCATATAATTCGTCTTCCTGATCCATCAACTTGACTTTTAGAGTTATTATTGCTATTTCTCAGATTATCAGAATTTACTAGGCTCGCACACTAGACAATGGTGCAAAATAGACTGAACGTGTGAATATAATACAACGAGCTAGTTCATCAGCATGCACGAGTCAATTCGCGCAGATTGCATGAACGTTAAAACGGCCCTCCAACGTTCAACTCTCAATACGCCCATTGTTCTTGACCTGACCAATGAGAGAGAGATAGCTACAATTCGAAGCTGATAAGTACTTCACGGCTCCACCTTTATATCTGACTTATTGAAATATCAAAGGTGAAATGTTGATTTCTGAACGCTATAGATTCCATTCCATTCAAATTCACCTGAAAATATCGATTATACATTGAATTTTCATCATGATTCATCGATTGAGAGAGGTTTGGACGGATTCAGTTCATCAGTGATCTTCTCCATTATCGATTCTGATATATTGCTGATTTTCATTTTGTTTTAATGAATTCCATCCATGATTTCAATCTAAATTCCGTGAGAAACTGCAAGAGAGCTCCTTTTGATATGATGAATAATATCATGTGAATATCAATGATGAGTAACTCATTTCATCAAACATTGTTGTGAGTGCTGAATTTTTTGTAGATATGAAAAAATTTGCTCAGCATTTAATGTCCAATAAGGCTTCTGAACTTAGGGAATGTCAGATACGACATCTGTGCTTGGTGAAGTGGTGAATGTGAAACATAATTAAGACCATATTTCTGTACAAACGACTTTGAAACCTTGCCAGGAGATGCATGAGTATTTCGAGATACGACAAAGATGATGATCTTTGTTTCGACGATAATGTCAGAAACGACCTTTTAGTGTAGGCAACAGTTCATATCTTCAAATATGTGTGGTGATGTAGGTAACATATCCATTTGTAGAGTGCATATTTCAATCAATAATAGATGAATGAATATGTCGATTCTCATTATTGAAACAAAGTATCTGCTTTCAGAAGAGTGCCTATATCTCTATTCTATCAACATTACTATGAGCTGATATAAATGTATTCACTATTTTTATTCTGTTTTTCAGATTTTTCAAGATTTATCGAATGTTCTATGTAGCAAACCTAGCCTTGTATATATTTATGTCAAAGACAGTTGATATCAGATGCGAAAATTATGTCGCACTGGAAAACTCTTTACTGAAATACGACAGACGGTCATTTTCGTTCATCGATTCCCGCGTACGACCAAATTCGACAGGAACAAAAGAAGGGTACACCGTTTTCTGGAGAGGCATTAAACAATTCTTATTGAATGAGAAAGCTCATGCAACTGAATCAGAGATAAAAAAATATGAATGGTAAGTTGAATCATTGGGCATGGCAACATTGAAGTGTGTAATATCCAGGGTATATCAGATTACAATATTCGTAGAGATCGTATATTCCATTTTGAAATGTAGTATTTTGCGAAACATATTCTGCTAACTTGCATTGGTTCTAACTGATGAGTGTGGCCAGAAACAGTAATGATCTCTAGGAGTTAAGGGAAAATCCGATAGGTAGGCTACCTCCCTTTCTTCTTCAAAGCTCTCTTCTATATGTAAACGACCGTTCAGTAAATAGGTTTCAAACATTAATAGAGAAAAACCCTCATTCACGTGTATTTTGAACAATTAATGATTCTTCTCATAACTCACGAAGAGGATCCTGTGGGGTTAATACTCCACCGACGAAATATTGTGGGATATGCCGATCATCGAGAAAAGAGGGGTTCCTGTGGGGTTAATTCTTTTTCGATCGAATATTGCGAGATATACATGATATCAAGAACATCTGAAGGAATATCTACAGAGAAAAACGTCCATTCACGTTCATTCTGAGAAAGTTATGATTTTTTCCGGAATCCATTGAGAGTGGTCCTGTGCCCCACCGAATATTATGAGATTCACAGACTACCAAGTTGGTCGAGAGGAGCACATTCATAGGGAGAAACTTCGATCCACGTGTATCTTGAAAAATTTTCATTCCTCTCAAGATCCTCTAAAAATGGTCCTGTGGAGTTAATTCTTGCCCGACAAAATGTCGTGAAGTACCCTCAGAGGAACACGTTCATAGAAAAATACTCTCATCCATGTGTGTTTTGGTAAATGTATGATTCTTTTCTGAAATTAAATTAATAGGCTAATAAAATTAAATCGAAAAAAACCGTTTTGAGGAATTAATTTCCAGCAAACTGGAAATCGTTTTGATACCTCTATTTGGTCCTAAATGCGTGTAATCTGAGTTTGCACCATGTCAGGTGGTGAGCTTAACTTTTGATAGCCAAAAACCCGCCACATTTTTGCACTTTTTTTATTTTTTTGCTTATAGCTGCAAAACGGTGCGTCGGACGAAAAATGTTATTCCATTCAATAATACAGAGGACAAAATTCTGCGTCGAATGACATCTGAAAACATCAAATTCCGTTCAGAGGTATAGCCGAAATCGAATGTTAAAAAAAAGAAAATTTCGTAGTTCGGTGCAAACTTACATTTTGCGGCTTTCCAATAGGCACCTATTGCGAAATAGGTATTTTGCACACTGCATGTAAACTATGTGGGATTTTTATATTTCAACCTTTATGGTTTATGGTACTCAATGCAAAAAAATCCATGGAATCATTTGTTTCTGAATGTTTAGGTAACAATAATTAAGGCTTTTAAACTCTTTTCAAATTGTGACAAAATCTTACACTACCTAATTTTATTTATTATTTACAATGAATTTCGTTTGGCGTTTGTAAAAAAAAATTCGTTTGCAACTCGTGCGCGAAATACTTTGGTGATTTCGACTATTTTTTAACTTGGCTGCGCCTCGTTAAAAAAATCAGCTCTCGATCACCAAAGTAGCATTTCGCGCACTAGATGAAAAATAATTATAAATTGATGCAAAATTTGGGACCGAAGCTGAACCGGGCATTCAGATATCCGGATAATTGGACAAATCAAGAAAATTTAAACATTTGGACATCTATCTATATAACGTGAAATTTTATTCTCTACAACTTTTATTTTATGGGTTTTTTCAATAGCAGTATCTGTTTTCACGTCTTGGAAAGCCGCAAAATGTAAGCTTGCACCGAACTACGAAATTTTCTTCTTTTTTAACATTCGATTTCGGCTATACTACTAAACGGAATTTGATGTTTTCAGATGTCAATCGACGCAGAATTTTGTCCTCTGTATTATTGAATAGAATGACATTTTTCGACCGATGAACCATTTTGCAGCTATAAGCAAAAAAATAAAAAAAGTGCAAAAATTTGGCGGTTTTTTGGCTATCAAAAGTTAAGCTGAACTCCTGGAATGGTGCAAACTTAGATTACACGCATTTGAGACCGAATGAAGGTGATTAAATGATTTCCAGCTTGCTGGAAATTAATTCCTCAAAATATAATTATTTGATTGGCCTATAAAGAGGTTCAGTAGAGTTATAAAGGACCCCGCACTTTTAGTACGTAAAATGGTTCTTGGTGAAATTTTCTGAATTTTCAGTATGTTGTAGAATTCGATGAACTGATTGAAACTGCAGAATCGTGAAGTTCTTCGATGAACAGATTCTGAGAAACAGGGCGTTGAAGTTACAAATCGGTATTTTTCATTTAATTATTTTCTCGAAATTCAAAGATGCCAAGTACAATTTTCTTCGCTCATATCATTAACGAACCTCCATATTACTCAACATAATTCAGATGGTTCAGATGATGTAAATGTTTACAGAGTGAAACATATAAACATTTCAGTGATGTCTGAAAATTCGATGTAATAATGAAATATCGAAAAAATAATTTAGGTATGCAATATACTATTCTCATTCAATCATGAATCACAATTCACACATTTCATACAGGGTGATTTGAAAAATTGGTGACACCTAAGACCGATTTATTCATACACATCCTGTATATTCGAGTGAATTGTTAACCTCCCAAGATAGCTGATACCGTATGAACATGATTTCGTTGAGATATATAGGGTGATCATGAAGATTTTCGATGATGAAAATGACAAAAAATCGTGTTTCTTGAAATCACCCTGTTATTCATGATTAACTCGGTGAAATTCCCTAATTATTTTTTAATATATTCATCATTCGCTGCTTAACGATGTCTTGAAAATTCAGTTTCCTGTCATGACGAGTGTCATAGTTATTAATTCAGGAACTTACCATTTGCACGAAGAGTTGAAGAGACTTGTTCACTTACATTCGCATAATGGCCGATATTTTTCACAAATAGTGAAACGAGAGAAAGTGGAGACGAAATTGAGTTCAGTATTCATATACATTGTGAACATCAGAAATTCAATAACAATAGCAGATATATGAATTAAATAATATAAATATAATGTACAGATAGTTAGGCGAATTTCGTTGGTATACAAGCTCTGCCAAAATGAAAAACGAACAATACCTAGGAGATGGGAGAATGATTCGGTCTTCCACGCTTCCATTTCTAATAGGGAGAGTTGAATCCTGGAATCGACAGATTTTTTCACATTTGTTTTCCACTCAGAATCAGGCGTTTCCATCATTTTCATATTACCAACGAAATTCGCCTGTCTGTACATTATATTAATATTATTAAATCCATATATCTGCTATTGTTATTGAATTTTTAATGTTCACCCTGTATATGAATCCTCAACATATTTTCGTCTCCACATTCTCACGTTTCACTATTTGTGAAAAATATCGGCCACTATGCGAATGTAAGTGAACAAGTCTCTTCAACTCTTCATGCAAATGGTAAGTTCCTGAATTAATAACTATAACATGAATCATGAATAACAGGGTGATTTCAAAAAACACGATTTTTTGTCATTTTCATCATCGAGAATCTTCATGATCACCCTATATATCTCAACGAAATCATGTTCATACGGTTTCAGTTATCTTGGGAGGTTAACAATTCACTCGAATATACAGGATGTGTATGAATAAATCGATCTTAGGTGTCACCAATTTTTCAAATCACCCTGTATGGAATGTATGAATTGTGATTCATGATGGAATGAGAATAGTATATTGCATGCCTAAATTATTTTTTCGATATTTCATTATTACATCGAATTTTCAGACATCACTGAAATGTGTATATGTTTCACTCTGTAAACAATTACATCATCTGAACCACCTGAATTATGTTCAGTAATATGGAGGTTCGTTAATGATATGAGCGAAGAAAATTGTACTTGGCATCTTTGAATTTCGAGAAAATAATTTAATGAAAAATACCGATTTGTAACTTCAACGCCCTGTATCTCAGAATCTGTTCATCAAAGAACATTACGATTCTGCAGGTTCAATCAGTTCATCGAATTCTACAACATACTGAAAATTCAGAAAATTTCACCGAGAACCATTTCACCTACTAAAAGTGCGGGGTCCTTTCTCGAGAAGATATTGTAAGATGTACCGAGTAAACAACACTTTGATTGTTGATATTTCCCTTTGGCAGAAAGCTATCATGTTGCGGTGTTCGTTTGTCTATTGAGATTTGGTTTTTCTATTACATCATGTAATGATATGCATACCATTAGATTCATTCTATCTCAAACTTGTATCATTATTCGTTGCTGAGTTACGGTTGACAGCCGTTCTTAGTTATTCACCGGGTACACAACATGGAGTATCTTTAGAGGAGCGCATAGAAAATTCTTCCACACACATGTATCACGAAAATAATATGACTTTTTTCAAAATTTACTGACAAAGGTCCTGTGGGGTTAGTATTTGCTCGACAAGATATTGTGAGGTATACAATCAAGTGCCCTGAGAGGAACATATTCATAGAGGAGAACTCCTATCCACGTATTAGTTTCAATTTGAATATGCAAAATGGGTTGTTCAACGACAGTGATGGGCGGACCCGAATAGGACCTACTGAAGAAATCTCATTTTCTGTTTATGGAAAAATTTCTCACCGAATTTCAACTCCTGTAGAACTCAGTGATCGTCAGAAATCAGCAGCTCACCAGACAGTGGAGAATCTGATGACGACTAAGTAGGAAATGTGAAGTCAGAAGGTTCCAGTTATTGTTTTCCACATATATTGTGTAGCAGTATCAAAATGGAATATTACTGAATTCGATGGTGATGATCAATAATTTTTTTTTTGCACTTCCTAGAAGAATGTAGAAGAGTTATGTATATACCGTAATGTTAGGAAACACCAATTGTACAGATCTGAAAGTGATGTGTTTACTGCTAAGCAATAACATCTTCCTGTGCTGAAGCCATCCCAAAATCCATATCCTATGGACAGTGTCTGTTTCAGGTAATTTGTCGCCTAGTGCTATCACGACACGCCCCCTTCAA